TTTAAAAAGCTAAATCATTTATACTGTCTAACGTATTAACCGAAACGCATAAAACTGTATAACGTATAAAAAATTATACGCTGAAAAAGAACAAGAAATAACCAAAATGCTTTTTAACTGACCTAGTCGACGAGGAAGCCATCCTTTGACCGTTCTTCCCCTTTCGACGTCGATGAGTACGCGACGACCGTCGATTTTTTTCCCATCTGCATGTTTGTAGGCTGCTGAAACAGAAATCATAATTTATCAACGTTCAACGACTGCACAGAATACGCGGGAGGAAGACAGAATGGAGTGACCTGAGAATAAAATCCGGAACTTAATCCTAAACTTAAACATCACCAAACTAACTTTACTTAACCACCGCATCAAGGCTTAAAAGCAAACTCTCTTTCACGACTTATCCAAACTTATGGTCGAGAGGTGAAACTTTAGAAACAAAAATTTAAAAGATTTTACAAAACAAGTTTAATGCTCATTCGACTAAGTAGTTACCGAAAGCTGACGGGGGGCCATCGGCAAATAAGATTCCAGAATAAAATTTCTGGACGCACAAGCGTTAGAGTGCTTATGTAAAGTGAACATGCTCATGCTTAGTGAACCACACTATATATAAAAACAGGCAAATGCATCTTACACAAATCTGAGCTGTTACTGGATTATTTCACAGTATTTTGCTATATACACGCGAGCAGTGAAAAAACGGATCTGTTACGTATGTACGAATGTGATCAAGACTCATTTATTTACTAAGAAACTATCCAAAATTGAAGGATTTTGTCTTTTTAGTATCAGCGATGTAGCAGCGTGGAAACGTTTGTGAGATATGGATTGATCTGAACAAAATTTATGACCGTTTACTGGATAACCGGAAATGAATCGTCGGTTGGAAATTCAGAATATTTCAAGAACTAAAGTCACATTAAGCTGTAGCCTCATTTCAAGCAAAATAATAGGTTAATGCTTTGACCTTCAAGAGTTCCGATTGCAACTGGACAACTGCAAAGTGACAGAGTACACATTGAACAACATCCAAAAATGGAACATGTTTTTAGGAAAATTACCACGCCAACAGCAGTGGAGGTACCGAGTCCAGTTTGAAAACATGCCATTGGCGGTGCTAGTAAATTAAAAACTTACGTTCGAGGATTTCGCATCTTATGGATGGCGCCCCGTCGGACCTACGGACCTCAAAACCTTTGACGAAAACAAAATTACAATAAAAATTATCGAGGGTGTCTACGAAAGAAATTTTATATCTCGTTACGCTTCAAACATGCCTTACCACCCATACAAACCTAGCTTGAAGAAATCATTCAGAATTCAGTAAAGGCCAGTGGAGCCGACAAGGCGCTGCGACCAGCACCAATTAAGGTCTGTAAAAGAAAACGCAAATTAATTTCTTGATTTGAAACGAGCTATTTTTTACATAACAAATACACCCTAAGAAGTACTACTTTCCTCACCGTCTGTGGGTTTTTACGCAATTCCAGATTCCTTTGAAGGCAAGGGGTTTTTACAGTACTAAAATGTTTGAATATGCAAAAAATCGTACCATGCATGTCCCTTTCGTGTTCGTATTCGACGAACGCGTAGCCTCTCGGCTTTCCCGAAGTAGTGTTTTGAACAAGAGCAATCTAAAATGGCAGTAATTTAAAGCAAAACCCTTAACGAATACCCGGTATATAACCTTTTTAATTGGTCCGTAAACTTCGAATTCGCGTCTCAACTTCGATTCCGATGTGTCATAATTCTAAACAGCGCAGGATTTAGCAGGAGACAGTTCACAGTGTTTTAAGCATACTATCCTGGCTACAAACAGAGTTTTGTAAGGGTCTGAGGTAGCCTTGGCATTGTTTGCAGGATCCCCTACAAAACATTAAATTGACATATATTCCCGAAGTTCATACACTGCATGTAAACATATACAATATATAAGGCAAAAACGGCTATTTGGCGGCTTATCACGCAGAAAACCTCTACCACACGAACTTTCTTTAGCGTTAAGTTTGAGACACCACTGATTTTTTTAACCTCAGGTAGCCCACGGCTAAAGGCTTAAGAGAGAACATAAAAAGGTACACAAATGTCAATCAGAACATCAAACATTACCTTTATGAAGGTCTGACGAAACCGATTTTTTTCATGATAAATGATAAACTGCTACTCGCATTTGCGATTAGTACATTTTTAAGGTGATATAATGTCGAGAAAGTTTTCATAAATTTTTTGTGATTTAATCATAAAGTACTTAAGTATTAATTTCTCAATGAATCGATTTTATCATCAGTAATGCCTGAGTGATTATAAGTTTATACAAAAGGTCGAATTACTTAAATGAAAATGCAAATATTATAAGAACTATGAACTGTTACGTTTAATTCGATTTTCGGGAGAACCATTTTCGAAGGTGAAGAATTTATTTTATTACTCAGAGCAATAGAAATGCCTGCTTTGGCAAATGAACTGCTAAAAACTGGACTGTTTACCAAATAGATTTTAAAGGTTGTAGAAAGTTTTACGTTGGCAAAAATATATGATAATATAATACCCCATCTAAAAGAACACATGGGAGCTTTCGAATACGGATAAGAACTTTCTGCAACTGAAAACCTAGTATGGATAGAAAAAACTGAAGACCTCAGACCTTACCAACATGAGAGCCGCTCTTGATACCCAAAACACAATTATGCCTAAACATTTTTCAATAATTTATTTTCTACAACCTATCTTTTATTTATTTTCCTTTACTGTTTATCACCGTCGTTTTCAGGCGTTTTTCTTTCATTTCTTTTGATTGATCATTTTCGCTTTTTTCTCTGCTTGTCCTATTTCTTCGTTACAGTACCTTTGATCTATTGATCTTCGTAGGCAAATGCGTACGATATCTTTTCTGTACCTCATTAATCTATGCTGAAGAACGAAAAATGTTGTTAGTCCCAAACATTTCACATAATAAAAATAGTTTTCAGGCTTATACCACTCTTTATCTGTTATCAGTTATTACCGCCAGCAGTTATATATTCTTCACTGAATGCAATGTGTAAAATAAACCCTAGTGACTAAATAGTTAAAAAGCAAAAAAAAACTTTTGAAACGATCGCTGATTTATTCTCTTACAATTTCTAGAGACTGCATGGCGTGATACGTTGCATGACGTTTAGAAATAATTCACATATAGCCACTGACAACAACGAAACCACAGCATGAATGGTTTCCAGGAGCGTATTCCCTCGCGCGGGAGATACAGAATATTTTCAAAATGCAACAACTGTGCCCAAGAGTAAAGTATATACGAATAGTTATGGCTTGTAATGATTTTGCATCTACTGTTTCTCCAAGTAACCATAAATCAATCTTATTTTACCTGTGCACACTAGACAGTGATCGATGCACTAAACAAACGCATTTTGCAAAACTTGCTTTTTAAGAAATTAATTTTGGATTAAATTCTCCGCTACACGAGGTACCTAGGCGAGGAAGAGATACTATACGAGAAAAAGCAGCTGTGCCTGAACGTGCCATAGAAAACTATGAGCGAGCAAACCCTCACTGAATCAGAACCGTCATTTGGAACCCAATTCGACCAGGATGAAAGGCAAACGGACGTTCTGTCCAATATGTCTGCAAGAGTGAACAGCAGTCAAAACCGTTTTCCAATATCGAAGGAACGAAAAGCACAAACGAAAGTGGGCTCCAGTTTCCTGGGCACAGCTGAAGTCGAACAACGGCATACTGCATCGATCGAGAGAAGGATGACGGATCAACTTCTACAGTGACGGATCGCTAACTTGGGTGCTACAAGAGCCCAAGTGGAAAACCTGGGACGATTAGCTAAAATAGGGATATGGAGACCTGTGGCGTCAAATAGCATGAGCCAGACTAACATGGGCACCAAAACTAAAGAATGGTGACCATATAAATTACGAAAAAGGACCTGTCAATTTAGGATCAAATGTTTAAAAACTATTCGAACGGGGAAATTTAACAAATTTTTACGAATTATGCACCTACTTTTATGTTTAAAAATTCGTTTATACGACTTTGCATTAAAGAGTAAGTAGAATCAATAATAATTTCTTTTAAATTAAACGGTTCCAAAATATCGAAGTTAGTGCATATTAAATACTAAAAAATGACTTAATAGAAGTACAAAATGGCTTCCTTCCAGATATAGCCATAGT